CTACAACTTTAGAACGATTAATTAAATTTGATAAAAAAAAACTCCAATTAAAAAACAATTAAGCCTTAATCGAGCCTTATCAAGGCTCATTAAAATCGCGATAAAATTTTTTCGCGCGGGCAAAAAATTTTGAAAAAATTTGAGGAATTAAGAAACATTCCAAAAATTCAAAAAAAAATTCAAAACGTTCCTTAAGGACCGCGTTTTATGTCACGCTATGTAACTGGAGATATCTCGGGTTATAAGAATTTCCATACATTTCATTGTGGAAATTGTTTATCAATGTGTCAGGAAAAAGTGATGTTACATTTGTACTGTAATGTTTTTATAGTAAACTATTTTTTTGATTCTTTTTATTTTTTGTTAAAATAATATTACCATACTAATGAATAACTATTTCTAGATACCTTGTATGTGATGTATACCTGGTTGCGTAGAAAAATATATATTCAGTGTCTATATTTAAGTTTTCACAGGATTAAATTTGTAAAGCAAACCAATGGATTAAAAAATTTGTAGAAAAAATAAATTATTTAAAATGTTTTAACAATTATGCATTAAAAAGTATGAATTATGTTTAGGTGAAAATATATATTAAATTGTTAACTAATCTGCATTTCCACTTAGCATATTCTGTTGTTTTTGGTTATTTTATTATTAAAGTAAATGTACAAAAAAGCTTAAAAAATACAAAACAGATAAAAGTTACTTCTTGATGTTTAAAAATGTCTCAGCTTTAAAATCTTTGATATCACGTAACTTAGTTTAATGTTAAAATTATTGCAAAATTTTCAATTAATGTCAATACACACAAAAGCTAGTGAAATTATAAATAAGTGCCTTTTATCAAGTTTTAGATGAAATGTCTATAACTATTATATAATGTCTGCCCGCTCTCAAAGCAACAACAACAAGAACAACAACAACAATACAAAGTTTAGGCTGATCGATGAACATTTCCGATTATAGTTCATTCATGTAGTCATTCAGCTGACCAATCAGCGTGTTGTGCCATCTGGATATTTGACACACAGTCCTCAGAAAAACACCACACAAAAGTGCCAGGGCTGTCAGCTAAAGCACACACACCAACAAAAAAATATCGGAGTAGCCCAAGATATAGCCGAAGATTGCAGCGCCATAGCCCTAGCAAAAATTTAAATTTGCCGACTGGAATTCTTTCGGATAACCGACTTTCGGATAAACGACGTTATCCTGTATTACAATAGTGAAGATATTTATATTATTAACATGAGAAGGTAATTTCTCATGTTTATCAGCTAATGTCAAATGGTTATATTAAGTACTGTACATATATAGTAATGACAATATATTTACATTATGTTACTAGCAGTAACAGAGTAGCAATAACAGAGTAATAATTTAAGTAAAATTCCGGCTCTTTCATCAGAATTTTATTTATGTCCTCAATTCCCTAATCTCTTAATTATTTAACTACTTAAGCAGAAATGTTGAAATCGGTTACTCTGTACTTGAATATTTGTAGTCTCTAGAAAAAGTGGAAAGACAAATATTTATGACAAACGGATACATAAATCGTAAATTTAAGGAAAATAAATTGTAGAGCTGTTTCTGTACCTCGTGCATATCTCTCTCTTTCAAATTTAGTTCTAAATAATCCTGACGAAGTAACAGTTAATTTTTTAACATTATACAAGAATTGTACAAGCTTTTTCTACATCCCATTATAGACGGGACATACGAAATCGTAATATCACTGGTTTAACATTGCAATTCGTAAGTAATATAAGATGGGAGAGCGGAATAAAAATATCAAATATTTTGAAGTGGATTTTTTAAACTCCTGTCAACTATACAGAACTATCGTAAAAACATACCAGTAAATTCTTATCGGTTGGGTTAAGTTATAAATCTACTCGCGATTCATATAATGGGGCGAGGGCGGCCAATTATATAGCGGGCAGGCGGCTAACAGCCCAGAACCGGTCTTGAATAGAATCATTGGAAGAGTTATACGTGTGTAGGTTTCACCAACTAAACCAGGTGAGAATGGTGCTCTGTAAAGCGCATGCGCGAATGAGTATAATCTGGCTGTTTGGAAGCTGATAATACAGCGCTTTCATTCCGCCGCTAATATTCTAATATACAATAGCGATTTTATCGTTTTTTTACACATAGTATAGAGATTTGTAATAAGATACATAATGCGGTTATAATAAAATATTAATTTCATTTATATGAAAATAATATTTGTATTGTATATGTATTTATTTTTTAAAAAATACAAGAGAAGCAGCGCTTTCATCGTTTAGTATTTAACAGTGCCGCCATTGGAAGCAGCACTTCCACCGCTTCCAATGACAGTACTGGTAAATACTAAACGATGGCTGTAGGATTGTTGGTACATGAACTAAGCGTAGATTGAAGGTGACACTTTTCTTTCTATACTATTTACTAAACCAATGAAATTGTCCGAAACATTTGCAATGTTTCTGACACTAGGGGAAATAAGGCGTCTCCGCGCCAATGTCTAAGTGATTCATCTGACTTTAGTATCTTTATCGAAGCAACTATTATACTTTTTCCTGTAAATCAGAGAAAATGTGAAAATGAAAAGAACTGATAATTTTTTTTTAATTTAAAGTAATATTTTGATATGTTAATAATAATCAGGAAGAAGAATAGAAAATATTATAATTGCATAATTTTATTATTCTTCAGGACAAAACTGTGAGAACATGGAATTCGTATTGAGACATTTTAGAACTTTGAATCAATTTATTTAATTAATGTTTTTAAATTGATTTTTAAAAACTCGTCAACGAGTTGCGTAACATTCAGTAAAATGAGAAAAAGTAAAAAATTACAATCTTTTAATTAATAAATTTAAATTAATTGTAATATAGAATTCAATACAAAAGAGGTTACTTTTATGACAGTTTCCTTCTGTAATATATATTATGCAATTCTGAACAATTCGTAAGATTGTTGCATGGACACAATTTCGAGTTGCAACTTTTAATTGTTTTCGTTTTTTTAAAATCACATGATTTTCGTCCCAAATGAAAGTTCTCACATCGTTAAGTCCTTTGAACTGTCAGCTCTTATATCTGACCTCGATTTTCATCTCGATAACTCCGATGTCGAGATTAAAGATGGACAGACGAAAGCAGTGAGAAATTACAGACACACTATTTGAAAAATTTACCCTGACAATTACGTAATTTTACTGTATTTTAAAAAAACACTTTAATTGTCATGCTTGTCGAGATTGCGAATGGGGAGTGAGGGGTGCTCCCACCCCTGCCACAGTACAGTGAGTAAACGACTTTACGCTTAAAAAGTAGCTTTCTAGCAAACACATCGTAAATGATAGGTCGAATGTATCGCGAGAATATATTGTAATTGCTGTTAAAAAATCAATCAACGAGTTGCTTAAATTACCCGGCAAATTTTAAACTTGCATGTGGCGATAAGTTGCGATATTTTATTTTAAAAAAAATTTTATATTTTCAATTATTATAAAATGGCAAAAAGCTTAATTTTGAAGTAGTGGGGAGTGTTATACAAAACTGTAAACACTAGTATCGAATAAAATTCGTCGTTAAGTTCGGCCATTCCATGATATCTGGCACAGGCATGGTATATGGTTGGACTCCGGATACCATGCCTGACCACCTTTATCTCCACACGCCACCGCATTTAATTACTAAAATCCGATAACAAAAATGCCTCTAAATCCCAAACATCTCTGCAAAATTTCAGAAGTTTTCGACAAAAAGAATAGGAATAATTAAGCTTCGAAGAGAATGAACAAAATCGTGCAGTGTTCTTCTACACAAACGTCCATACATACAGAGGGAAAAATTCAATTGCATTTCTCGACGTTTCAAGGTTCACGGGGTTTGAAGAAACTAAAAAAATTTCGGGGGTTGCCATACTTCCCCCAATGACACAACCGACAAAGTAAGTTTTAAAAACATTCACTCAGAAGAAAAAAAATTACGTAATAAATTCTGTGCAATTTTAGCAATTTCTGAATATTATTGCACTAATGGAAAAATTTACATTCCATTAGCGACATCATTTGTATAGCCCAAACAATAAACTAATAAGTTTACACGATATTTTTAAAAACACGCATACAAAATGATCCTCATTAGAGCATAAATATTAATAAGTAAATAACTTACCACGAGTTTAATGAGTTTAATAAAATCATAAAAGCAAAATAAGTGAATCGTTTTTTTAATTCCCATATTATTTTATTTTCATCTTTATTTCAATTGTTAATTTCTCGTATATTTTCACCGTTCTTCTTTTATATAATTTCTTTATTCTGCTGGTGTATTCTACTTTATTATATAATTACATTATAAAGTGCATTTATATGAGATTACAGCTTTCCTACTTCCGTGTTTTACACTAATTAAACGATAGTAATAAATTATGTATCAATCATTGCAATTATCCATTAGATCTAATAAATTCAAATTTCTTAAATTTTCAACGGATATCTGTATGTTACATAATATAATTATAAGAATAAAAATTCCGAACATTTTACCAAATCAAATTCAGTAAGAACAATAACGTAACTTGCACGAGTGTTGAAGGAATATTTCAAAGCTGGCGAATAATTGCTAGAAGAAATCGCTTTAGACAAACTCTACCCAAAACAGCAGGTATATGTACAATATCTTATACTTAATTAATTATTTATTACATGTATTTAATGGCATTTAAATCTAATCTAATTTAATTTCAGCATCAGAATTAAAGCGTTTGTAGTGGGCTGTATATAAACCATAGAATAATACATCATAATATAGTATAGAATACTCTCAGAATACACAAATCTGCGTACTTAGATAAATTACTTGTGCTATATAACAGTAATAGATTAATATGCAGTTTATAAATATACAAAGTACAAGAAACCGCGTTTGTGTCAAAGACTCTTTAAAATATCATCTGAAACTTATTGACAAATCCGATCGACTATTAATAATTACATGCGACCACGAAGCCATAAACAAGAATCGAAATAATAGAAAAACTCTTTCGTGGAAATTATTGTTATTAAGTATCTACATTTGTACGTACTACACAAGTTTCTTGGCTATTGTTATATTGCCTAAAGCACAATCGCTTCCTTATTGTTCGGGATTCATATACAAATCTACAAATTATCCGACAACATACAAAATTATCGTAGTTACTTCACAAAGCTTCACTTTATTACTCACACTTTATCTAACATATTTGAGAATGACCAACACCCAAGTTCATTGGCACGATGAAAATATAAGTCAAGAAACAGCAGACAAAATATCTCGATTTCAAAGCTATTCTGCGAATGTTTATGCTAGCTTTTGTGTATTATTAAATACATTATTCCCAACATTCCTAATTACAAAACGTTATCCGGTTATGAAAGAAGATAGTGGGGCGTTACTTGCAGGTATATGTACAGGTTTGTTTTCGATAAGCATAACATGTCTGTCAGCTACTTTAGCTTTTATTCCGATTGGAACAACATTCTTTATGATAATATATTATAAATTGGAGGCATTATTTGAGGAAATACATTTCATTCATTCGCGACAGCTGCAATATATTCGTATCGTAAAGAACATACAAACAGAATACTCTAAGATTGCGCTCGAAATGGAAACAATAAATGACATTGGAAGCATATTTACGTCTATCTCTTATGTATTTGCTGTTTCCTACGTAGCTGCTACTGTTATAATTATCCTGCACACGTCTTTGGAAGGAAAATTTGTGTTTTATCTTTCATTAGTCGTATCATTTGTCTGTTTGATCATACTTTGCGTAACTGCTTCGATAATATGTACATCGGTAAGTAGTATCCAAATTTTTTAAAGTATTAAAAAATTAAAATATTAAAGTTTTAATTTATAAAATACTATTTAATATTTTACTATATGTTTTTGACGTTTGATGCGATATAATTAAGTCAGTCATAAGATTCTATTTTACTATTATTAGTCTAGGAAATGTCTGGAAGAGACTAGGTTCTTTGACTCTCTGAATTTGCCATTCATCGATAAAATGCGGGTAAGTGAGTAATAACAATTCGACAGAACATTTTATTCTATTTGACAGTAGGATTAAGTGTTGATTACACCTGATACATGAAAACCATATAATTATATTTACAGCTTTTGTGCTTTCTAAAGAGATTGGGATCCAGACAACTGGGAGTAGAAGTTTTGGATTTCATAATTACTAAGGAATTTGCTTACAGGGTAAAACATTTTTTGTTATTTTTATACGTAACTTTTATTTAAATAAGAAATTGTTAAATCTAATCGAATTCTACATTTCAGATAATAAAAGCAACTTTTACTTTCTTCGGTACTCTGAAAACGTTAAATGGTTTCGAACAGACCGAAGTCTGTCTTTCGGCCAATGGCACTGATAAGTTGAATTTAATGATACAAAATTTGACTTAAATTGCAATATTTAGTGACAGTATCCGAGTATTTAAGGTAACCGAAGTAAATTATAACAAGTTTAAAAATTCTGTGTAGTGATTTTATTTTGAATATGTTGCCACATTCCGTAAATTTACGGATCGTTTATTATTTTATTTAAAGCATTTTTTGAATTTTTCAGTGGAATTTAAGCATGTTCCGCTTACTTTCTGTGAGAAAGTGAGTTCATTTTGTAAGAGCCTGTTAATATTTTAAAAGTATTAGATAAGAAAATAGTATTAGTATGTTATAGTTGTCATATTACTAGGACTGTTATTATTAATTAATTAGGATTACGAACGTTAGACTTGAAACTGGTGAAAATGTAACACTGTCGTATCACATATAGAACTTAGAGCAATCACAGTCAAGATCGAAACGTGTAAGACTGCAGTATAGCTCGGTTCGAACATCTTTTCGGTTCGTACTGTACATCCTTACGAACAAAACTTGAACAGAATGAGCGTTGTTCCCTGGCATGTATGATGCCAGCGATCAATACTCGTTTTCTAAATACAGTGTTTGTTCTATAGCTAGGAGTAAAGCTGGCTATTTGACAACAATCTGTTCAAAGGAGACATCGAACGAGATTCGTTTGATAATCGTAGAGTCCATTATCGACTGGACATCACTCTACGTCATACCTTTCGTCGGAAGTAGACGGTCCTTTCGACGAATAACAGATCAAATAAGTTGAATTTTTCAGGCAACAATCGGAGACGTTCATGCCCGGGGGAAAATTTATGCCACTAGTTTTGAGTTGATATATGTTTATATATTATACAGCCTATAAATATCACTGAAGTGTTTTATATATCAATGTAACACTTATTAATTAATGCAATCATCATAAAGAATACTGTAAACGTAATACAGTAGAGCGTCGATTATCCGAAAGTCAATTATCCGAAGAAATTCCAGTCTTCAAATTTAAATTTCGCCAGTGCTGTGGCGCTGCAATCTTTGGCTATGCCTTGGGCTACTCAAATATTTCACGTTTTTTGATACTAAATTAACTTCTGAAGTATAATTTTTTATTGTTTTTATATTTTTGAATATATTTATTTTGTTTGTACAAAATATACAATAGTCTTCGTTAGGCTTAACATCAAAGAAAATTCAATGCGAAGCGACACGCAACGGAGAAAAATTTCAACATGGGAGAGGTTAATATATTTTTTCGTACATAATCGGTTATCCGAAATATCGAATTTTCGAACAACTCCAGTTTCCAACTGATTCAGATAATCGACGCTCTACTGTATTAAAGGTGGCCAATACTAGTCAATTTTTCACAGTAACATTACTAATTGTTACTGTGAAGGACCAAAATTAGAGAATGTTCATATTTTCTGGTGAATGTGGACACATAGAAAATTCGTCGGTGAAAGACCGAATACTTGGTGATGTTATTATACATTCGAACAATTGCCGGTGTATGTCGACAAGCGGAAATAAGCTTGGCTGGAGATCGAAACGACACCCGAGAAGCCGATGTCGTTAGAGAGGCGACAGTCTGTCACCAAATTCTTTGTATATAGCCGGAGGTAGCACAATGTCGTATCTTTTTACCAGGCAAAAATTTGGTGGAAACTGCGCACTTTGTCATTGGATGGCGTTTTTTTTCTTTTGATCCCGTGAGGTTTGGATCAGTTTTCTAGGTCGAGTGACGGAGGATGAGAGGGGTCGTCGGTAAGGCGTCGGCGATATCCGAATAAAAGACACCATTAACAGATCAGTTCGTTTGACGTAAGCAGTTCGTAATTTATAAACAAAGGTGTCTTTCCATAGATGCGATTTCTTCTCAAGAAATAACGCTGAGAGAAACAGTTGTAGCTAATTCGAAAATTGGGGGGAAAGTTTATACACGCTGTCATTGCAAAAATAAGTGTTCCACCAATAAATGCAATTGTAAAAGCGAGGGAATCTTGTGCAATTCAAAGTGTTATAACAATTTAAGTTGTTGCAATCAATGAGATTCTATAACGTTAATCACATAATTTGTGTGTAAGTTTATTATAAATATTTTCTTCTCTGATTAAGAATGTACTGTTCGTTTTAGGTTCAACAGTTCATTTACATGTGCTGTTACTAAAGCTTTCTCTTATTTTGACATATTAAAAAGTTGCATTCTTGTCTTAAACGTAGTAAAAGTATTTTTATTCGACATTCACCATCAGTGCTTGCTGAATGTCGACATTTGCCGGTGTAAGTGAGAAATAATGATATTTTGCAAATATTTCACGAAACGACTACATGAATGTTGATATTCACCAGATATCGATCATTTACAGTAACATTAATAATACAAGTTGCATGTAATATTATAAAGAAAGATCTGTGGCATGTTTTACTTCGGCCTAGTCTTACCATTCAAGTAAAAATTATAGAGATTATTAAGATTAACTCGTATTTAGATAATCCAAACATTATGAACTGAATAAATTAATTATACAACAAACAATTAATAGGTTTTAATTAATTATGTTGAATTTATATAAGATAGATTATAGAAGATCAGCTGGCTATAACGAAGAGAAGTTAATGACGAAACAATAGTAGTAATTTCAAATTGTGTGTTATTCTACACGAAATTCCATATTTCATAATTCGTTAGCATTTATTGATAATATTGAATGTTTATTTGTACTTAAATTGTGTTGAGTGGCACCATAACACTTCTTACATGTGTTACCAAAAGTACGCAAAGCGCAAAAACACTAGATTATAGAAAAAAATTACCAAGTAGCGAGTAGATACAGAACGTCATTTTAAACTAGAAAAAATGTCTTTAATGGAAACGTTTCGTCTGTTAATTTAAGATAAACAATAAATGAAAACAAAAAATGTAACAGATAGAATAAATTTAAAGTTAAGTGTTTATTCCTAGTTTTAAATTATTTAATATACCTGATAAATATTTCCTAAATACAGATCTATCCTGTAATTCCTATCCCGCTTTATTTCCCTATATTACCACGGTCTACGCTTCTACCAACGATAGCCGATTTTTCTTGCTATACGGAAGGGACTTAATATACCCATTTGATCTCATTACCCGTCCTACACAGACAAGATATGATGCGGAAGAGAACTTTACTGCAGAATTACAACTGCGTATGGCTAATGCACATCGGGTTGCGCAGGAACACGCCGAGCAAGCCGCTAGAGAACGTCAAAAACTACACCGCCGTACCATAAACTATCTACCTATCAAATGGGCGATAGACTTTTTCTTAACGAGATCGTTATCTCTCTGGGTCTCAAGAAGAAACTGGCACCCAGATGGTCGAGTCCATTTCGCATTATAACAAAATTCAGGCCTGTCACCTCTAAAATTGGGAATATTTAAACAAAAAAAAACCCTCAATGTCCACGCCAACCGTTTAAAACATGACACTGTCCAGCAAGAATTAGGAGAAATGAATGGTTCCGAGGCACAACCAATCTCAACTTAGAGTTGTGCGAAATCCCAAGAAACATTACCTTCCACCTCCATTTTCATAGATCCATGGGATGAAGTCATCCTCACCGAGATACAGCAACAAGCAGAATCGGAAAGGGAAGAAAAAGACGTAACTACAGAGGAAGAAACGAGAATACCGAACCTGAACTAACTCGTTCACATCCTTATGCCTTGAGAAGTCAAGGACCGGTAGAGGAACAAACTTGGGTCCTTCCCACTCCTCGACGAAGTCGAATTCCTAAACGAAAGGCCTGCCCGCCTAAGAATGGAGTCAACACTCAACCAAAGGTAAGAAAACGAGGAAACTTAACGTAAGAAAAAAATCATGATTCCAAGGCTCATTCAATACCTAACTTTTTAATATACCAAGGAAAAAACCCTGATATAGCCCCTCTCTAAAGTTTTTAAATCACTTCATTTTTTCTCCTCCACCATCATCCACTTCATTGCACTTAACCCTCTTGCTCCAAATCGCCTTCCTCACCTCATTAGTCTTCACTCTCCATATCAACCCACTAGAGGAATCTCATAACCTACACAAATGTGTTGTCTTTGTGCACCAGGGAAACTTCTTTATGACTACCAATTACTGGATTCTTATTTTGGATATATCTTTTGATCCTTACGAGGAACAGTTGCACCTTTTAAAGCGGCATATTCGATTGTTAATCTCGTTAGTGCAACGACAACTACGATCTCAAGATAACCCTTCAGCTCCACGATGGTCTCTCTCCGTTGATGAACTCACCTTCCTACAGGCCACACTAACCGGATATGAATCGGAATACCGGGAATTACAAACTTTGGTAACCCTTACTAACGTTACTCGAGAAAAAAGAGGCTTAATAAATGGACGAGGTAAACTCCACAAATACCTATTCGGAACAGCCACCTCGGGAGATATTGAAAGAGCAAATAGCGCGATTATCAGAACCAAATATGGAATTTACTCACCTTCTTCAGTCTCAGGCTACCTTACTCAATGATACCTTACGAATCGCCAAGACAAATCGACAACAAATTTATTCTTTGATCAAAAAGCAAACCCTCATCAAAGAAACATTAATACATCAACAATATCATTTAGCGGTGGAATCGGCAGTTCGATCTACCGAGTTCTCCATCAAAGAATTTCGAATTCTAATACTCGAAATCCGAAATGCCATCGAGACCTTAGAACAAGGCAGACTTAGCACTTATTTTTTTTTCCAAAGAGGTTGTTGAACACCCTCAAAGAGATACAAAGATTACATTTACCCGAAGGTTATTTCTTCTTGGAAACACCCCACCTTAAAACAATCTTCAAGTACTACCAATAAACATCTATTACGGCTATATCATTACCAAAAATACTCCGCTTTTTCGCCAAAATACCTCTCATTACTCCCACAGTATATTTTGATATCTACGAAATTATACGACTACCTGTATATTATCCCACTATACAATCCTTTGTTTATTATAACAATTCCTATCCAATCATCACTTTATCAAGAAATCGTCAATCCTATATGTTATTATCTCATTATAAATTAATGAAATGTCAAACGACTCCTGTAGCCATGTGCTCACCCAGCG